TTAAATTTTAATTAATTTAAAATTAAATTACATTATATCCATAAAAATAATATTTTTTAATACTTATATTTTTCATGAATAAAATTTAAGTTCAAAATCTAATTTAAAAAAATCAAACACTTTTTGGACTAGGCTAATATATAACCAGTCCCAATGCAACTTTTGCGGATATGGATTTGGACATTATAAACTCTGTTTTTTTTTTAAAGTGAGGCTCACCACATCTATCATACTCTCCTTCCTCACCCGGTCGCCCTCCTATCTCTCCTACCCATGTCTCTGCTCATCATCGCCATACCCATGAGACTCACCAATTGTAATAATGGAAGAACAAACCACATATTCAAAGGACAACGGCAACATGATCCCCACCCTTTCTTTCTCTCTGGTGTGTTTCTTTCTCAACTTTAAAAGATCTACATTTGATTTCTGCAATTTGAGGTGTTTTCCAAGCTGCTTCAGGCAACAAATCTACAAATTCCTACTTCTATTCTTGTTTCGTTCTTTAGCTTTGGGTTCCATCTATCGATCTCACCTTCCCACATTTCAATTGAAGTTTGGACAAGTGAATCAAATCCGAGGACTGAGATAGAATGGCTTTTGTAATTTGTTTGGCCATCTAGATATTCAATCATTTCAACGGAAGAAGTCACAGACGATGACAAATGCTTGTATTTTGCTTTTGATGATAAGAATAATTAAAGACAGGGAATTTTTGGGTGCAGTAATGGTGTAGGGATTTGTTTATACAATTTTCTAACATGCAGAGGTTAAGGACGAAATATTTGAAATTAATTTTATATAATTTTTTAAATTAGATTTAATTAAAATAAATAAATAATATAATATAATATTTATATTCAAAATTTATAAAAAAAATAAATTTAATATAAAAATTTATATATAATTAATTATAAATATTATAATTAATGAAATTTAATGTATACTTTAAAAATATAAATTAAATAAAATTATTTTATTTATTTAAAAAATAAGTAATTAATTTTAAAAGTAAGCCACTGTAAGCTTTCTACGTAATAGAGATAATGTTTAAAAACTAATAATTACTTTTCAACAATTTGAGTTTGTAAATTTGAAGTTTCCTTAGAAATGAAACTAAAAATTTTGGATTTTATTGA